AGACTACCTGCTATGCACTGCCTTCCTGAAGCACTAGAAGAAGAATGTCTCAAGTCTTCACTTACACTTCACAGAAAGGCACTATTAGTTCCATTTTATAGATGAAACAAAAGTGGAGAGTAGGAAATGTGTCCAAGGCATTATCGTTAACTCCACTTTCCAATGAAAAACTGTGACTCAACAGAGAATTCAGCTAGTGCAAGTCAGCCTTTGTCACAAGTGATTTGAGCAAGGAAGGTGTTTGTTATATGTCATTCTGCATTGGTCAGACTAGTCTTGAAATACTGACCTTAGTTCTAGAAACCACCTGCCTCTCTGGCCTGCTCTGGGACTAGGAGGCAAACGCAGGGTGGATGTTGGATCTCAGCCTCTATCTCTCTTTAGTCACTGATATTTTTTAATTGAATATGTACCATCTTTCCATGTGACAGAAGTTCAGATATAAGCTAAGTGATGGCTCCTATACAATGTGGAATCTTAGCTTCTATGACTGAAGTTTAGTGAACTTTGGTTAAATTTAGGAAATAATTTTACATAGCCCAAGCAGGCCCTAAACTTATGATCCTCCTTCCTCAGCCTCTTTAGTAACTGGGAATACAGGCATGACCAACTAGGATATATTTCTAAGGAAGATTAAATCATATCATATTAGCTCTAAACTACTTTATCAAAAGAAGGATTCCTTATGGATTAATTCCATCTGTCATGTGTATTTCTCTATCAGTAATAAAGAATAATACCTATATTTATTTAAAAGACTAAAATTCCTTGCTTTTTAAAAACATGAAGTAAATAGATCTATAATATTCTTATCCCTGCCCTATAAATCACCACTCAAATTATTTGCAAAATAAATTTAAATAAACCTTAAGATTAATATCAAAACTAGTCCCTAGATCGCACTCCTATCTCTCTCCCTATCACTCTGCAAGCTTTAGTTAATTCTTTTTAGGGTTAGAAGCTTCAAAGATCTACGAAATGCTCCAGAAGGTATGGATGATAGGTTCCCTAACAAAGTGACAGTTTAACCAATCACCCTGGGAGCACGTCTCCAGGAAGCAGGGCACAGGCAGGGAAGACGAAGTAGAGCAAGCACAATGGAGACAAAGAAAGCATTGACTAGAATATAAACTTACAGTAAGAGTGAGTGCTTGGGGGAGCAGGGGGAGCCAGGCCTTTCATGACCTTCCAGACACATCAGTTAACTTTGTTCCAAGATGTCTGGTGGAAACTCAGACCTTCCTTATACTAAGAATGGCCCATGCCTGCCTTGCATAGGGTCTGGTAAGACATTCAGGGGCAGGCTGTCCAATACAGTAACTGCTGCCACATGTGGCAAAGATGTGCTTGAAATGTGACTTGGCTAAAAAGAAATGTGCTGTAAATGTCAAATGCTCACTAGCTTTCAAAGACTGAGCCTAGAAAACAACATGATTAACTCATTAGAAAATTCTGTATGGATTACCTACAAAATATTACTACAAGGCAATATTTTGGATGCATTGAGTTAAGTAACATATGCTTCAAGATTAATTCTACTGTTTTATCTTACTTTGTAAATAGTGACCACTAGTTATTTTAAATTACATTTGGGGCTCATTTTATATTTCTGTAGGAGCTCAGTGATTTAAATACTCTCTTTCACAGGCTCAGGGACCACACCATTAAACTCCCCTTAGGGATATTATTTGGCTTATAAGCCACAGTGATAGAGCTTCCTAGAAAACGATTTTTCCCAGCTGGAAATATGTATCCTAAAAAAACCCAAAAAACAAGAAACAAAAAAAATCCAGGCCCTCAGTGACTGACCTTTGACCCACAGAAGGCTTGAAAGCACAAAGATAGGCTTTAAAAAAATTAGTACCAGGTGATAAGATCTCTCTGTACAATACTAAAGTCAAGGAAGAATTTCTGCTTACATATTTTCCTTTTTCCAAAAGAGGCACTGATTACATCCTGGACCTTAAAACGAGTTCTGTGTCTATTTCTGTCTCTGTCAAGGTCATTCATTTTAGAGAAGCAGTGATGTGTTAATGAACCTAGTCCTCTGGTATGAAATGTGCCTCGCCTGTCCTGACCCCCATCAGAACACTAGATGTAAATTAACTCTGCGACAGTCTAGAAAATGAGGTGAGAGAGGTCAGCTTACAGACTACCCAAGCAATATTGTGACCAGAAAACTTGCACAAACATTTTCTCCTGAAGCATTCAAATCAAGTCTTCACTAAGTCACCGGGGAGAATGAACTGGCAAGTCTGAAGGAAATAACAGAGGACAACAAAGTGATGGCAGTGTTTCCCAGTCTAAAAATGCCAGTGGGCTGGAAAGTTGTTCTCAGTTGTTTAAGTGCATTTCTACATCTCTATCATCTCCATCTACTTTGGAAGATTAAGTCATCCAAGAAGAAAGAAAAAAGGGAGAGAACGAAGTGCTTTCTACAAAGTTTTCTTGCAGTCTTCCACCATGCAGACCTGTGTCTGGAAGGGCTGCTTCCTTGGACAGAGTGAACCATACATTACAGTGTGGTGCCAGAAAGGGGCAGAGGCAAGCCTCATTCCAGAAAGTTCCTTTCCATTATGAAAGCCAGACAAAGCTACACAAGCAGAGAACCTCCCAGACAATGATTCAGCCAGAGAGGTGTCATCTTGCTTTATATTTTTCCATTTCTCAATGATACTGCCCAGAGACTAAGATGAGGAATTCTAGCAGCTGGCCACACTTCACTCTAAATATGTTTTTTATATTAGATTTGCCCATCAATTTGCTTCCCAGTGGGATGAATGTTTTTCTTTTTTGTTGAAGAGGAAATACCAGTTATTTATAGCAACTGGAGGAAATAATGAAGGGTTGCAAGAGCCACTGAATAGCATGCCATCAAGTAAACAGATCTATAAACAGTCATTTTCCACAACAGTCCTGTGAGATACTCAGGCTGACTGGGTCGCCAGGCGAGATCAGGTCATCTCAGGAAACTCTCCAAGTTGTTCTCCCAGCCTTCCCTGCATGAATGAATTTCAATCAAGATATCACAAAATGGTGCTGTGGGCAATAGGGGGAATTTTAGGTCTTCACTGTCAACAATTCTACCACGGGGAGGGGGGGGGGTCTCAGAGCTGGACCAGGTGATTATCATAGATGTAGATTCCTTTAACCAAGGGGTTTAAACAGTAGTTTATACACATAATTCCTTGAAATACTGTAAAAAATTTCAGGTCATTTCATTTGGCTATCTTTTTCTTGGTGGTGGAAGGTACGAAGTACTAAGAAGCACTACTGCCTAATATCTTAATACGCTACTGTCATCATCTTATTTTTCTTTTTCTTCCTTCCTTCCTTCCTTCCTTCCTTCCTTCCTTCCTTCCTTCCTTCCTTCCTTCCTTCCTTCCTTTCCTTCCTTCCTTCCTTCCTCCCTCCCTCCCTCCCTCCCTCCCTCCCTTCCTTTTCTTTGACAAGGACTCACTATATACCCCAGGCTATCCTATACATCACAATCTTCTTGCCCTTCCTCCTAAGTACTGCTGGAATCACAGGAATCACCAAACCCAGCCTGCTTTGCTTCTATAGAAGACCAAATAAGGTGAGGCTCTTTTAGAATAAAATTTGGTGCCTCATAAGAATTCATTGCTTGCTTTGTAAAATAAGGATGGGACATGTCAGAAAAAATTTGGTGAAGTATAAGCACAGTGACCTGCATAGCTTGGTCTTACTCTAGGGTAAGATTTGGAGGCATGAGAGTGAAATTGAGGTGAATGACAATGGATAAAGGGCAGAAAGGAAGAATGAAGGAAAGCGAGAAGGCTACACAAGAAAAGGGACAGACAGGTCTGACAGACGCAAAGTTTGGTGAATATAATCCCACGTTGTCACAGGTCTTTTCTTCCTAGAGACAATGTAATATTTCTAGAACTGTAGGGATCTTTGGCTCACTACTAAATGGTAAACAAACTTTTTTTGGCTTGTTTTTAGCTTTTAAACTCCAGAGGCTTTTAAAGGACTTTTCTTTCATAAAATGACTTTCAGAGAATTTTAGTCACTCAAAACCTTTGGAATTTAGGTTTCTGTTTAGCAATGGAGTTCTGTCATCTATGAGAGGAGAGCAAAGACCTGGTGGGGGTGTGAGCCTGAAATTGGTAGCTTTGAAGACACTGCTGTATGAAACAATGAAAAAGAGAAAAAAATTATTAAGAGTAAAAAAAATTCCTTTGCTATATAATGTATTCTTTAGACATATGAAAATAATGGGCTTAATTATTAAAATTTTATTTGATTTTATGTGTATCAGTGTTTTGCCTGAATGTATGTGAGTACACCTGTGTAAGCAGTGCTTGCAGAGGCCAGAGGAGGTGATGGAGTCCCTCGAACTGGAGTTAGGGAAGGTTGTTATCTGCCCTGAGGGTGTTAGGAACCAAACCCAGGTACTTTGCAAGAGCAGTCAGTGTTCTTAATCACTGAGCCATCACTTCAGTCATGGAGTCACTTTTTCAATTGAAGGAGTACTGAAATTAATCTCTGATTAATATATCAAAATATTATAGCTTGATTTTAACACTTTTTGATCATTACCTCCTTTATTCTTCAGATGTAAATATTCCTTTCCATACCCTTTAAAATGAATTATTAGCACATAGTTACTCATAGAAATTGGTCTTCATTGAGTGCGTTTTTTTTAAACATAATTTTTATCATCTATCAGGATGATATAGCCTATCAGGATATCCCTAACATGGCCTCAACATTTTCCACAAAGGGAGAAAATAGTCTTTGGATGCGATCTCAGCTTGAAATGCAGTCATGGCCACCCCAAGTCATTTACTTTTGGACGATCAGAATGTAATGATACGCATTTGCTGCTGTCATTTTTACATTTCCACATTACCACATACCTCATTTCATTTGCCATCATGGTCGACGGTCCATGTGCTCTCTTCAAAGCTGACAATCTGAAAATTCCCAAATGTCAGAAACAGACAATGTATGCGTACTTCATGCCAGTTACCTACCAGGCATGATAATGTTGGAAAAACCCAGTTTCCTTGTTATGGATACTCCATGAGAAAATACTGATGAATACTCTCTCCTGATCTGTTCAATGTCTCCATGCAACAGCTGTAGGGAAACAGCTAATCCTAAAACAAAGAAGAGACACTCAAATTCAGACCAGAACCTACAGAGTAGGAACCCTGTAAGTAAGAAGTGAAATTCCTCAACAAGTTCAAATTTATGGTATCAGTTTTTTTTAATTATTATTTTTATGTGTATGTCTGTATTGCCTGCATGTAGGTAAGTGCACCTGTGTTGTGCAATGCTTGTGGAGGACAGAAGATGCTGTCAGATCCCCTGGAACTGGAGTTATGGACAGTTGTTAGCTGCCATATGGGTGCTGGGATTTGAACCCAGGTCTTCTGCAAGAACAGCCAGTGTTCTTAACTGCTGAGCCATCTCTCCAGCTCCAGTTTTAAACTAAGGGTAAATATCCATACAAAATCAATAGAAACTACAGGAATAATATCTAAGTAATACTATTCCAATGGAGGCACTCAATTTCCAATTACAAGGAGGTTCATAAAAACCTGAGACTCTTTTGCAGAATGTTGAGGGGAAGAAGTAGGGTTCTAGCCACCCTACCCTGTCCTCCATCCCTGCCCAGGTAGAGCACACCTGTCTACATGTACTCATTCTAGCATGAGACATTGGGCAATAAGGTCCAAATTGGATTTTCAACTTTTTTTCCAGGTCTGTGAGGCCTATGAATAACGGTTTATCAAATATCAGAACACTGAACATAAGACAGTCATTCAAAGATCTTAGGGATACTGATATTTTTTGAAATTTATGTAACAGAGGTGATTATAAACAAACCAATTACATTTGTATTATGATATACCACAGAAATTCACAATGGCATTATTTCAGAGGAGAATTTAGAAGGATGCAGAATGCTTTGACAAAAGGGAATTTAGTCAATAGAGTAGCAAAATTATGTTTTCCTTTCTAGATCCCAATTATAGTGCCATTATCGCAGTGGGATAGACAGAAGATGAGTGACACCTTTTCTGTATTAAAGTCTCTCAATTCTCAAAGGAAACTAATATGAAAATGCTTGCATGTATACTTAAAATACCCTATACTCTTTCAAAATTTTAATTTCTTCTTCCTTTCTTCATTCATTATTTTAAAACAAGACAAAAAGTTTGCTCACCTATATCAGTGATAGAAAATGAAACCTGTTAAAGTGACTTGTTTGCAAAAATCACTGATTTAATAACACGAATTCAATTTAGAAGTGAGTTTAGATAGTGAGGTAAAGAAGATAATTCTGACCCCTTGGGGTTAGATAGATGGCTCAGCGGTTAAGTGCACTGGCTGCTGTTACAGAGGACCTGGGTTCAACTCCCAGCACTCACATGGCAGCTAACAACTGTCCCTAACTCCAGTTCCAGGGGATTCAAAGCCCTCTTCTGATCTCCACAAGCATTTCACGACACAGGTGTACTTACACACATGCAGGTAGTACACTCATAGAGATAAAATGAAAATATATTTAAAAATAATAATTCTGTCCCCTAACAAACTTTAACCTATATCATAATTTCTCACCACCTTTCCCCCAATAACCCACATTCATCAATTTACGCCACTACAATGCCTTGTAAATGGCTTCAATTGCGCTATGATGAAAAGAATCTTAATAAAAAAGCCTTTTTATTGTCCAGCTGTATTAGGGTCCTCTCTTCTCCATAAATAGTTTGAGAAAATGAAATAACAGTGAAAGCAGTGTTTCATGGATTGGTTTGCTTGCTTTTCAAGAGGGCAATAAGAATGGAAAAAAGGAAAGGACTTACCACAGGCTTGTGTAACAGAAAATCTGTCTCAGAAAAGTGCTGTGAGGTTGGAGCCGGTAGGTTTCAGAACTTCGCATCTGTTCTGCAAGTCTACCTTACTCTCGCTTTCCCACCTCTGCCCCTGACCCATTCACTTTGGGTTGGGTGACTGAAGACAATGCTCCTTTCTAAGTAGGATCATCTGTCTCTGCACAGTCAGGTGGAGTGAAGTGGGGAAGAGCAAGCCACTTGGACAACAGGGTGGAGCTTCAGCCCTCAGTGCAGCTTTGGGACATTTCATGCAGCACTGATTCCATTCAAAACCCAGAGGCTCAAGACGAAGACAAAGTAACATATGTTCTAATCCATCTGTCCTAGCAGCTACTTCTTCCTGACTCATGATCTCCCACTGCCTGACCTCTTCATCGCAGCCTCTGTTCTCCTCCTACTTCTGTCCTTTTGCCTTCAAAACACTCACTCACACCAATACCACCACCATTAGCATCATCAAGAGCTAGGATTTGTGGAGCACCCAGGTGTGCCAGACACAGCTTCATAATAACAGTTGCTGGGAAAACAGTACTCAGAAATCCCAGAATTCTTAGAGAATATACATTTAGCACAAATTTTGATATGCTATGATTTTGTAAATGATGATGATTTTCACTGAACTGGGTCCTGTCATGAAGGATCTGATTTGAGACACATTATGCAGTACATATAAAGGAAGAAGAGAAAAATCTCAACATTAATGAAAAAACAAAGAGATCAGGTTCTTCAGGATTGGGCTAGACCAAGCAAAGCTGACTAATATTCTTGTTTTGCATATTGGTTCAACCAATAGACTCTATTTAACTGTAGTCACCTCCCTCTTGCCCCCCCTTCCTTCTTTCTACCTCTCTCTTTTCTTTTTTAAACACAAGGTGAATTCTTCCCAGAGAATAAGATAATGAAAAAAGTATTTAGACAGTGGTATCCTGAAGAAATGAAAGAAGATATAAAAAGGAGAAAATGGGGCTAGAGAGATGGCTCAATGGTTAAGAACACTGGTTGTTCTTGCAGAAGACCTGGGTTCAAATCCCAGCACCCACATGGCAGCTAACAGCTCTCTGTAACTCCAGTCCCAGGGGCTCCGACAGCCTCTTTTGACCTCTGTGGGCATTGCATGACATGGGTGCACTTACCTACATGCAAGCAATACAAGCATACACATAAAATAAAAATAATTTAAAAAAATTTTAAAAAGGGAGAAAATACACTTTCAGGAACAAAATGGATAGAGAAAGAGCAATAATGAACAGAGAAAAGCTCTCTAGGGAGCAAGTGCCATTGAGAGGAAAGAGAGAGAAGGCAAACAGACCAAAAGAACATATTAAGGAGGCAATAGACAGAGGGCAGCCAGCTAGTAGATGCCAAAGTGATGGGAGAAACTGTGGGGAAAATGAAAATCACTTAAGAGTTGGATACATCCTAAAATTTAGAAAAATATAGAGTGAAGCCCTAGATAGGATTAATTTCATTTGTCTAGGCCAGTGACAATAATTGGTAATGGCAGGGCAGGAATTGCCATTTGGAGTTCACCCAGTTGCTCTAGAATGGAGAATTCACAGTCAAAAACTGGAATGGTCCACTGGGAGAAAGGACTGGCTATAATATCATTGAGGTGTTCCATGAAGAACCACAACTCCTAACCAAGAAACAGCCAACAGAGGGTGTACTTCAAGTATAACAAAGCAAACATCAAAACAAGAAAATATGACACAGTGCTAGCAGCAAGCCCACAAAGACCAGTGCACAGAACAACTGTATTTCTATTAATTTTTTAATTACAGAAAATTTGATCTTATTTTTATAGTGATCCTTAGTCATCATGATCACAATCAAGAGGCTGGATACATGAGTCATCAGAACATTAACATAGCAAGTAAGAAATTACTTATCACTATAAAAGAGAGTCTTGACAAACATACTTTAAAGTTGAACTCATAGGCAGAAGCCAGGGGTAGAACGGTTGCCGGAGGATGCACAGGACCGGCGGGAAAATGCGTATAATGGAAGATTTGGCTAAGGGGTATAAAATTTTAGTTAAACAGACCTTAAAAGTTCTCATCACAAAATACAAGCGTTTGAGGTGATAAAATATTAACTATCCTTAAATGTTTCCCAATGTATGCATCAGTCAAAGCATCACATTGTATAACATAAACACACACAATTTTTGTCGATTATATGTAATGAAGCCAAGACAAAAA